TTGTATCACTGGGTACCTCATTATAACTAACATTGTAATGATTCTAAACTACTCCATAATGAGACTGCAGTGTTTTGTTTTTTAACCCACCATCACTAAAGTATCTCAACGTGACTTGTTAATGACAGTATTTTACGATCAAGTGGTTACTGTACTGTAGTGTTACTAAAATGCATAATTTGTTCAGCATCACACATGCTTTAATACCATAAGCTTGATATAGTAGTTATGGTGCTAGGAGTGTGCACTGGTGCGTACCCTTCTGCAAGTAGTCGTTTTTAAATGATGTGACTTCTTACCTGCATTCTGCTGGGTGTACCCTCAACTACTGACACCAGAAAGCCAGAAGCTCCTAAGCAAGAATTTAGCTCAGTAGTTGTGGTGCTTATTTTGTTCCTTTACTAAACATATTTGTTTGATTAATAAACCTTTTGTATTTTTTAAGACAGGAATACAATACTACTTATATTTGCTAGAATAAAGCTGGACGAACTCTTTTGAGTTAACATTTTAAACATGTAAACACGTGAAGTTTCATTCAGTCGTTAAAGGGTAAAGTAAATTCATGCTGCATTTATTGGCTTAATCTCCATTTAAATATTTCAAGGCTGCCAAAAAATGTGAACAGATCTGCTAAAACATGAAAATGCAGGAGTTTAGCTGAGTGATTTTGTATATATCCACACTTTGATGGGTTTTATGCATTTTCAACAATGTGTAATGGTTTTCATTGGCACGCTTATATTGTGATTGAATTATTAGATTAAATTATTTTGCCCTAAAATTTTATCAACAGACAAGTCAAAGGTCAAGACTTGCCCATTTCTTTTGTCCTATCGCTCATTCTTCATGATTTCTTGTTCTTCTCTGAAGGCTCCATGAAAAATAAATGAGATAAATTGAGATTTATGTTGCATATTGCTGCATGCATTAATGGATCATTTTTGGAGAGCAGTTGGATGATGAGTTAGAATGCTATCTAGAGGGCTCGTTTATAGGATTCATTCAGGCATTTCCTATTGATATTTATTCCAAGTTTTATAGCAGTACGTGACCCTATATTGAGCTTCTCCAAAGCGGTAAAAAAAAAAAAAAAAAAAATCTTTCCTAAAGAATCGAATGCAGACAATAGCTACTCTACTTCTTTGTACTTTAAGCCCTTGGTTGTTTAGAGGCCGGAATTATAATTTGTTGTGACAGGTAAAAATCACACAAAATAGCATTTAGTAGTGTCTGTGTTTAATCAGTTACACTGACTTAGAAAATTCACATAGAGAAACATAGATTTCCTACAACTGCCAATTTCATGAGCAGCAATAGAGTTACCAGAAGGCAATACTAAAAAGCCAGTTGGTAACAGCTCCCATTATTCTATATGGGAGGAACTTAGCGATTGATTACAAACCTGTCACTACGCGTACCAGTTGCCACAAAACCTCTAAATTGGTTATATTTATGTGCAATGCCACTGTTGGCAAAGTTGCAATGATGGATTCTTAGTTTCCCATTGATTAAAATAGGGCTGGTTTGGTGTATCTAATATCATTGCATTGGTGCAAGACAATACAGCAGGAGTATTAATATGCTGGGCTGAGCATCAGACTAGTAATTCGCACAGATATTTTAAAAGAAGAATTTTTCTATTTTTTGCGTACACAAGTTTTTACATGCACTAATACATTGAGATGTTAATGTTAACTTTTGTGGGTCATTTTGTAATACGTATAGGACACTAAAGGCACCCAGACCCCATCTTCTCAAATGAGTGGTCTGGGTGTGGTGGTCCTTTAGTTTTAACCCTGTAATGTAAAGAATAGATATTTAGTTGATGTAGAGGACCATCAGTAACCTGACTGATTACCACCGCTAAACTCTCTTCTCAGCCAGAAATGGAACCTTCGGTGAATATAGCTCTGATTCCCCCAGTAACTAGATGACACATAGTTCTGGGGGTATATCTGTTTTTATTTTGTTCTGAATGCAGCCTTTTATGCACAGATCCCCAGCATGGGGTCTCCATTCAGGACATACAGATGCCACCAAGGCGCCTCTATGTCTGGGAGATAATTGAGTCATCTCTTGCTAAATCAATTATCTTCCTGATAGCTCTCGGTGGAGCACCCAATCTTTCCAAATAGTGCTCTGATCTGTGGAGGTTTGGAGAAACGCCACCCCATTAAAGTTTAGACTGACTACTAGAATGGTCTTAGCCGAAATTAGTTCCTGGCTGTTAAGGTCATTCTTTGTCAGTACTTTAGTGGGTGGGGGGACCAGACCAAGGTGGTAAAGGTTGACTAGACCAAGGTGGTACTTGTGGCTGAGCCGAAGTTTCAGGAGAAACACAGATACGTTCCGCTGGCTTGCTTCATAGAATGCGAATAGAGCAGAGAGAGGCACTTGCTGGGTCCACGTGGAGGGGAGAAGGAACAGAGAGCCAGAGTAGTGTTAGAGTCTTTTAGTGGGGTATCAGGGTTATCGACCACAGTAGATATGGCAGTGAGTGTTTACATTAAATTAGAGACGCTTTTGCCGAGCCAAACTCAATTCTCACAGCTAACCTCCATTTCATTGGAGGAGTGCAGTGCTGTGGATACGCTTTTCTTCTCAAGTGCTCATCTATTAGGAGCATTGGATTGGACATTTTGAAGTGTCTGCCAGTGCTGGGGGGCCCAAGAGCTGGCCGGCTGGCCACCTCTGGGCACCTCCTGAGGCGGGCGGCAGCTGTTTTGCAGTCGGGCTGCAAGGGAGCATGCCGCTTAGTGATCCCGGGAGCCAGAATATGAAGTCAGTCCGGCTCCCTGCATCACTAGGAGTCGCGAGGGAGTTGAGCGGGAAGATCAGATCTCCCTCGCTGCCTACTCTGCCATTGCACCCCCTACCTGCACGCACACCTGCCCAGCAGCCCCACTGGACCAGAGGTAAGGAATCCACTTCAGCTCGCTCAGGGAGGCTGGGTGGATTCAAATTTAAAAAAATGTATAATAATATGTGAGGGTTGGAGGAAATGTGTATGAGTGTGTGTGTGTGTGTGTCTGTCAGTTAATGTGTGTGTGTGTATGCCTATGGACAGTGTGAGTTGCAAACAAATGGTCATATTGTGAAAACTATCAGGACTATGGCTTAGCCGTGGACATTTTTAGTGGCAGCAGGGATAGCTGAACGTTTTGATATAAGATTTGTGTAGGTGGGCCTGAAAATAAGGGAGTGGTGGCAGTTTAGAAATCATGTCCTGATTTTTCAGCTTTTGCCAGCTCCCACTCTAGCTTTGCCATTCATTCCTATGGGACAAATTTCGCCACAAGAACGACGATATTCCGTGAACCATTCGGCGAAACGTTCCACAAAGTAATAGCAATCCGATCGGGAACAATCTGCACGTTTTGGTAAATTTTTGTCTATGTAGTGTAAAAACTGTGGGAGGAGTTAGGGTGGCAAATTTTGCTATAATAAGAATAAGAACTAGAAAAGCTACAATTTCTGGGGAAATTGTGTGAAGTGTTCTTGCCTCCACCAGTAGTCTACAACTGGAGTGGGCGGAGTAACTGTTATCATTTATATAGCACATTTAATTGCAACGTTGTTGCACAGTTACATTAAACCATACATTTATAAAAACATTAGCAGGTGTTCAAAAGGCCCTGTCTATGACATCACTTGCTGCTGCAGCCTGGCACAGGTCAGAGTATTTTGGCGGTTGCCATCTTCAAACGGTCGTATTTAAAAACTATAAATCCTACAGCGAAGAGCTTTATATTGTGAGAATCACAAGACCCAGACCTACATTTTGATGCATAGTATGTCTCTGAAGTATTAAAAATGAAGGCACAGTCGCAGTTTAGAAATTGCACTTCAAATTTGAGCTTTGTAGAGTGAGAGTGAAGTTTCAATGAATGTCAATGGACGGCGTTAGTTGCAAACAAATGATTATATTGTGAAAACTATCAGGACTATGGCTTAGCCGTTGACATGTTTAGTGGCAGCAGGGATAGCTGAACGTTTTGATATAAGATTTGTGTAGGTGGGCCTGAAAATAAGGGAGTGGTGGCAGTTTAGAAATCATGTCCTGATTTTTCAGCTTTTGCCAGCTCCCACTCTAGCTTTGCCATTCATTCCTATGGGACAAATTTCGCCACAAGAACGACGATATTCCGTGAACCATTCGGCGAAACGTTCCACAAAGTAATAGCAATCCGATCGGGAACAATCTGCACGTTTTGGTAAATTTTTGTCTATGTAGTGTAAAAACTGTGGGAGGAGTTAGGGTGGCAAATTTGGCTATAATAATAATAATAATAATATATATGTGAGATAACATTAAGTGGTCTTGCTATGCAAGAACACTTAATAACTAGAAAAGTTACAATTTCAGGGAAATTGTGTGAAGTGTTCTTGCCTCCACCTGTAGTCTACAACTGGAGTGGGCGGAGTAACTGTTATCATTTATATAGCACATTTAATTGCAACGTTGTTGCACAGTTACATTAAACCATACATTTATAAAAACATTAGCAAGTGTTCAAAAGGCCCTGTCTATGACATCACTTGCTGCTGCAGCTTGACACAGGTCAGAGTATTTTGGTGGTTGCCATCTTCAAACGGTCGTATCTTAAAAACTATAACTCCTACAGTGAAGAGCTTTATATTGTGAGAATCACAAGACCCAGACCTACATTTTTTTTTTTAAATTTGACAATTTTTATTTTTTCGTGCGGTGGGGGTACAGAAAGGAAGAAGGAGGGAGGGTAGGGGGGGGAGGGTGAACAGATTTCATCAATACATATTAACAACTCTCATTCAGTTGACCATGAGTATTCAGGCTACTTATACCGCTCGTAGTCGGTTTGTGACCAGAAACATTGTCTTGCACCTTTTGTGTGTCAGAGTGGGGTGGGTGTGCTCCCTACTCGATCCCTTATGGGAGTTAACAGGAGAGGTCCCATCCTTGCACTCTATTCTCGCACCTCTTGCGCTGTTTCCCACTGATGTGCTAGGCGCTTCTGCTCTTATGTGGTTTGTACATACAGTATCATTGGTAGGTTACATTTACGTTTCTCTATCACCCGATCTCCATGAGTTCCACATCTCCCATGCTGCTAGAGTGGTGTTGGATGGGGGGAACAATGTTTTAAAGCTCGTTTCAAACGTTCTTTGTGTGTCCAGGTCCTCAATGACCCGTTTCATACCAGGGGTAGTTGTTTGTTTCCAGTGTTGAGCAATTACGCGCTGTGCTGTTAACATTATATGTAACAGGAGTTTTTGTTTGGCTCTAGGTAAGCCTTTCGGGAGGTCGGTTATCAACATCTGACGGGGCGCAAAAGGAATAGAGCAGCCAGACGCCGCTTGTGCAATTTTATGGACCCCCGCCCAGAAGGTCTGGATGCGGGGGCACGGCCACCAGACGTGCAGGACCGTGCCCTCAGCCCCATTGCAGCGCCAGCAGGTATTAGAAGTGGCAGGAAATAGTTTGTGCAGCCTGCACGGTACCATGTACCATCTATATAGTGTTTTATGGCTTTACTCCAGATGGGCGGCTGATTTGATCAGGAGTCTGGGCAAACGGAATATGCGCTCCCAGTCTTTGCTCAGGAGGGAGCAGTTTAGGTCCGCTTCCCACATTTGCGCTGTTTTTGAGGCAGCAAAGGGTAGATGGCGTGACAGGAGCTTGTAACTCATGGAGATCGGTTTACATGCAATGGGTAGTAGTCCCTTAATAAGCATTAACTCCCACACCGTTGGGGTTTCTGGGGTCAAATTGGGCCCAGCATCTCTACAGTAGTGTTTGGTCAGAAACGACCGTAGTTGGATATAGGAGTAGTGTGATGTAGGAGGCAGTGAGTAACGGGTTTGCAGCTCTTCAAAGCTAAGCATTTTGCCCTGATTGTACAGATGCGTCAGGTGGGTGACACCCCGGGTCTGCCATGGTATGGCGTGGAAAGTGGGGATGCAATATGTGAAAGACTTTATCGGTGTTGCCAGGGAGAACCCCTTGTGGCCGCTAAACAGTGTCGCATTTTTGTCCCAGAGCTGTAAAAGTAGAGTAGTCGAGTGTGGTGCTAGGGGCCAGTGCGGTCTATACTTTTTTGGTATCCATATCACATCGGCCAGTGTGTGAGGGGCCACCAACTCTCGTTCTAGGTGTACCCACTGTGGTGGTGGTGTCTGGAGGAAATGTGGGAGGGCAGTGGCGATAACAGTTGCATAGTAATACGTGTGTACATTAGGCAGTGCTAGGCCCCCATCTCGTTTGGGTGCGTTTAGTAAATTCTGTGCCACTCTAGGTTTGCTCCCCTTCCATACAAATTGATTTATGTCTGATTGGACCGTTTTAAGGAAGGATCTGGGGAGTTCTATTGGTAGGGTATGAAACAGGTAGAGTAACCTAGGGAGGATCGACATTTTGATCGTTATAATTCTTTCGGTCCAGGACAGATATAGTGGTAACCATTTTTTGAGTAAGTTACGGCAGATGTTCCATGTTGCCACATAGTTTGCAGCGAATAGTGCAGTGTGGGCCTTCGTGTATGTAATCCCTAGATATGTGATAGTATCAGACCTCCATTCGAACGTATATTCCCGTTGGAGTTGTGTGGTGAGTTTGGACGGTAGGGATATGCCTAGTGCTTGGGTCTTGGATGTATTGAGGGAGTAGTAGGACACCCTCCCATATTCCTTTATCAGTTGCATAACTGCTGGGAGTGTGGTGTGGAGATGTGTCAGGTAGAGTAGAATGTCATCTGCAAAAGCTCCTACCTTAACCTCTTTGTGGCCTATCTTAACCCCATGGATTTCCTCATTTGCTCTGATCTCTTCTAACAAAGGTTCTAGGGCCAAGACGTACAGCAATGGGGAGAGTGGGCACCCTTGCCTCGTTCCATTTGTGATCTGAAAGGGAGAGGAGAGGAATCCCGACTGGAGCACTTGCGCCGAAGGAGTCGCATAGAGTGCGAATATTTGTCGGCACACCTGGAGCGGGACCCCATATGCCTCCAATACCCCTTGGAGGAAGGGCCAGCCCAGGCAGTCGAACGCCTTTTCGGCATCCAGCGCTAGCAGGAGACCGCCCTCTCTGGCCCCCCTGAGCTGCTGGAGGACCACCGACAGTTTCCGAGTGTTGTCCAGGCCTTGTCTTCCTTTTACGAAGCCTGTTTGGTCATCTTTGATAAGGGAGGGTAGTATGGGGGCAAACCGGTTTGCCAGGATTTTTGCATACAGTTTAGCGTCTGTGTTGAGCAGGGAGATGGGGCGGAAGTTTTTGCATTGATCAGTCGGCAATGCTCCCCTCTCCATCGCCTGGTGGAAGGTTTCCAGCAGGTGTGGTGCCAATGTTTGGGCATACTTTTTGTAATAGAGGTTTGAGAGCCCATCTGCTCCGGGGGACTTGCCATTCGGTAACTCTTTGATAGTGTCTAATATCTCTTTCACGGTTAGGGGGCATGTTAGGGTTTCGATTTGGCTACTCGATAGTTGGGGCAGTTTGATGCGGGCGAGAAATGCTTTTACCTCATCTACAGTGGGGGTATGTGTATCGGGGTCGTCCCTCAAGTTATACAGTTTGGAATAGAATGTGGCAAACGCGTCACCAATCTCTTGGGGTCCTAGCTTTTTTGTCCCATCTTCCCCCAGTATGTGCGCTATCTTATTAGTTGCCAGTTTGTCTCGCAGTCTTGCTGCCAGGTACTTGTTGGCTTTCCCACCCGAGTGATAGGTAGTCACTCTCAGTCTGTTTAATAAGTACTCAGTTTTCGTTGCGTTCAGTGCGTGTAGTTTACGGTAGGCCTGCTGGAGTTCCGCAGCCAGTACCTTAGTTGGGTTGGTTTTATTTCTAGCCGTCAGTGTTGCTATTTGTTCGTGACATCGGAGTAGGTCTCCCTGTCTCTGTCTTTTTAGATGTGCGGCTCTCTTAATGAATAGGCCTCGGATAACCGCTTTATGTGCTAGCCAAACCGAGGTTTCCGATACCTCTCCCCCGCTATTCAGACGGAAGAAGTGTTCTAGTTCGTCATTTATAAGTGTAGCAAAGGAGTCGTCAGATAGTAGCGACTCATTGAGCCTCCAGTTCCCTCGCCCTTTGAATTGGAACGCGTTGTGTAACGTGAGATAAATTGGGCTATGATCTGACCAAGCAAATGAGCCTATTTTACAATCCGCCATTTGGGCCAGAGACCTGCTATCTACTAGGAATGTGTCGATGCGGGAATAGGTGTTATGCACCGCGGAGTGGAACGTGTAGTCCCTCTCCGTGGGGTGTGTGACCCTCCAGCCATCGTACAGGCCGTGTTTTGAGATCAGGGTGGTGAGTCTTTTGCATGTGTTGGATAGGCGTCTACCCCTATTACGGGATGGTGTAGCTGATGTGTCCAGTTGTGGTGACTGGATGAAGTTAAAATCCCCGCACAGAATTAGGCCTCCCTGTCGGTGGTCCTCCACAGTCCGGAGAAGTTTGTTTAAGAAATTTGTCGAGTCGGAGTTGGGAAAGTAGGCCGTAACCAGTGTGTATTGTGTGGCATTAAAAAGGCCCACTAATATAATAAATCTCCCTTGCGGGTCAATGTATTGGCTCTGGACCTCCAGAGCTATGTCTCTGCTGATGAGAATTGACACCCCTTTCGTTTTGTTGGCCGACCGGGCATGGAATTGAGTAGGATAGTGTTTAGCGAATAACTTTGGTTCCGTGGAGGACTTAAAATGGGTTTCCTGGATGCACGCTATATCTATATGTTGGTGTCTGAGCGTCTGAAATAGTAGGCTTCTTTTAGTCGGGGAGTTAAGCCCCTTCACGTTATAGGAGACTATTTTCATAATAGAGTGTTAGATTTTGAGTGGGTGGTGACTCCTGGCTCCCATAGTGAGAGCACCTATGTAGACGTGTGATGGACAGCATGCGGTACATATTATCACAGTACATATCAATAAGAGTTGTGATGAGGAACACAGTGTTGTAGTTGATCGAAATCCAACTTGGCAGGGGGAGGGGGGTGGGAGTAGAAAAAACAAGGGGGAACATTTAAGAACAAGTTACAAAGAGCTCAAGCCTCTTGAGCTATAATGTGCTCAGTAAAACTGGGCACAGGTAGTGGGTGACGTGGCTATAGGTCAGTCTGATGTGGTAATGACCTTGGTTGGGGGAGGGGATAAGGAGTCGCTCAGAGGGGACCATGGAGTGACAGTGGCATGGGAGTATTGGATTGTGAGAGACCTTGCTGCAGGACACTCAACCACTTTGTGTCAATGCTCTGCTCCGTCTGTGCTCTGTTAACCGGAGCAGGTGTGGTGTTTTGGGGTGTGAATGCTATTGGGCAGCGCCTATTCGTCAACTAAATGTTGCTGCGGTGTTACACATAGTAGGTGGTGTACACAACAATAAGCATTATACAAGCCCATTTCAGGGTAGCAAATGAGCGGTGACACAACATTAAAATTAAAGCGGTTAGTAAAACAGTGGTTCAGCAATCATGCAGCGTATACTCAGCCTTCACGTTATGCTCTGGACCACACCACCGACAGTCTTGGTATCTTTTTAGCGGGTTGCACCGGTACATCCGGTTTGGGGAGCCCCCAGTCTTCCAGCTTCTTCAAGCCTTCTTCCACTGACGTGATAGGGTGGTTGGAGTTGTCATGGTGGACGATAAGTTTCGCTGGGAAGCCCCACCGATACGGAACCTCTTGTGCTCTCAGTGCGGTGGTGATAGGTGCGAGTGACTTGCGGAATTGGAGTGTGTGCGCTGACAAGTCCGCGAAAATCTTCAGGTTTTCATATTGGGAGGGTAGGTTATCTTTTCTAGCTGCTTTAACAATCTTCTCCTTGACATGGAAGAAATGCACTCTGGTGATTACATCTCTGGCCGTTGAAGTAGGCAGATGCTGGGGTCTCCTGAGTCTGTGCGTTCTGTCCAGAACTACTTGATCTGGATGGACCTCTGGAATGAGTTCCAGGAAAAAGGTCTGGAGGTAGCTGTGTAGGGCTTCATTTGTGATTGATTCAGGAATACCTCTGATGCGCAGATTATTCCTCCTGGATCTATCCTCCAGGTCAGCAAGTTTCAGGTTTTGTTCTTGGATGAGTTGCTGCATCTGGTGTAGCTGGTCAGCCATGTTGTTGTGCGCGGAGGCCTGTTTGCTGACTGCATTCTCTATATGGGATGTGCGTAGGCCCAGGTCCTGTATATCTCTCTTAAGCTCACCTGCCAGTGATTTGAGCTGCCCCTCAATGGTGCTTTGAATCTGCATTGTGAAGTCTGCCATAAAGGACTTCATTGTGGCCAGTGTGAGGGGACTATCCTCTAGTAGTGAGGTGGGT